AATGGCGGAAAAATCCCCAGCAGAGACCCCCACACCAAAAGCCTGCATCACAACAGGCAAAATAGTGCTAACTATAGCTAAACTTGTTACACGAAATACCGAGTTCCTAATCAACTGTGAGAAATATCAAATAAAGGTAAGTTTTCTTTACAATAAACCACAGTGAAGAAACTGTAGAAAAAAAAATTATTAAAAATCTGAAAGCACTACTTCAAAAAAAAGAAAGAAAAGGAGTTAAAAAGTTCAGGATAAATGAACAAGTAGGAAACTATAAAAGCTGAAATACACTTATTGTTAACATCTCACTCAAACCATGTTTAGCTCCATATATGAACTTAGTATTTTCAACAAATATCTGCTAAAGATGAAATTATGATGATGAAAAAATGTTATACATATAAATTGACTTTAAAACCTATTTAAAAAAAAAGAGCTATATAATTCAAAACTTTTTTGAAATTTTAAATTCATGAAAATGTCCCAGTTAAATGTATAATCACAATATAACTTATTAGAAATGAATACATATGTCTTTCATTGAATGGATATAAAATATTTGTTCACAAATTTTAATTCTTACAAAATATATTAACATGTATTAAAAGATAAGATGATAGGTCATTCAGATCATCATTGTCACCCAACAAAAAGGCCAACCCAACCCAAACATAATTTTTTTGCATCCATAAAATTATCTAACAGCAGGTACATTTTATGATTAAAAAATAAATTTTACAAATACTTCACTTAGAATATGTTTTTATCCAATTCTTTAAAACTGTGAGGTCAGAACAAGTCAAACAACTTTATTAAGAGCTTTATTTGTTAATGAAGCTTAGAACAAAAAACTCTCAAACAAAAATGTGTCTTTTTCTCCACAAGGTTTTTACTTAAGAACAATTGCTATTACTAAATGAATGACAATTTAAATTAAATTTATTAATCTCAAATTAAATCTTACCTAAAGGAAGAAGAGAATGGGCAATCATTGTAAGCGTGGTTCCTTTCACGTGATATTCAACAAAGTTTACATCCTCTCCTCCAAGAAAATGTCCTAAAAGTTGTTGAATTGTAAATCCTGCAGATATAAATTCTGTTGGAGGCACCAGTACACATAAAGATATAACAGTGTAGAGAAGAGTAAATAAAGCAGTTTCTGAAACCATTCTCTTCTTCTAACTGCAGATTCTAATTTTTCTTATTCTTCGTCTTCAAGTTTTTCTTGAAACATGCACAACAATTCATGCAGAGATCTTTCTTTGTTTCAAGTCTAAAAAGAAACTACATAGTAAACTCATGAAAAATGCTCTCAATATTTATTAATTCCCAAGACATATGATGGTTATATATTTTTCAAAAGATTTTCCAGAAAGACTTTCTTTAACTAGCAAAATACACAAAACTTTTTTTCTTATTTTTAGTAAGTTATATTATAACAAAATGCTACAGTTTTTCATGTAAATATTGTTCAGAAATTCTACATTGAGCTTAATGAAAAATGCTGGATAATTTTATGTTAAGAAATTGACCTTAGAACCTCACTTCACAAAAAGTGTACTCATATTATTATAAGGGAAGACACTAGTATTCTTTAATTCATGCATACGGAGAAGTCTGGAGAGCCATATATATATATATATATATATATGGGTGAAAAGTCCCAACAAATTCTTGAGTTTTATGTTTTAACAATCTTGAACTTTCTCAAAAAAGTTTTCAGTTATGTTTCTTTTCAATAGTTTCTAGCAGCACTGAATTATACAAGCCAGTGCTTCTCAACCAGTGTTCCACAGAACCCTCTGGTTCCTCAACAGACATCCAGGAGTTCCACAAGATATTGGAGTTATGCAAAATGCAAAGTTTCCACATATTCTAATGCTTAAATACATACTCGTCAAATAATTCCAATCTGACTACATCACATCAGGTTTCATAATGACAACATAACAACAAGTCAATGCATTGTTTTAAATCAGTGAGCGAAATTACACATAAACAGGTGGTTCAGTCATGTAAGCTTTTATTATTTTAGAAAACATGCTTCTAATTACGTGTGTGTGTGTGTGTGCCCAAGTAATTGGCTAAAGAAATTTTTCATGCTTTGGATATATGTGTGTGGGTGTATAGCTGCATTAAACATACATACTTTATCTGGAATTAGGTATAGTATTGCAGTAATGTTTTTTGTAATGAATGCTGTTAAGGTTTCTGCACACAAATTTAATGTCAAAAGAGTTCTTTGAATCGAAAAAAGGTTGAAAACCACTGATATAAGCAAATGTTTATTCTGAGCATGACATCACTTTAGCTTTGCACCTTGTCTCCATATAACCAAACCATTTCAACCAAGCACACAACTTCTTTATTAACTTTCTTAACACCCAGAATCTATATCAAGCAATAGGAGAAAAAAATATATTTACATCTAATATTTCTTAATCAACAGTCCAGGATGAAACAAGAAGTCATGTAATTGTGACATCTAAATGCAAACATGTTGCTCCAAACTTGAATGAGTAAAAAAATAACCATACACTAAGACTTGATAACTACATCAGAGGTATCAAAATGACAAGCACCAACATTTATTCTTTATACTATAAGAACAAAGTGTAGGATGACAAAAGGCCATTCAGCTTAACAAGGTCACCCCTCAACCCATCAACAAAATTATCATATGTAGATAACATAGGACCCTGCTGTCCTTGCACACCCACCCTTGAGAAAAATTGAAATTTTAATTCATCTTTTATTTCCCTCTCTTAGTCTCCTCTAAAATGCTGAACTCCACAACTGCCAGTGGTAACTTCTTCTAGTACAGGGTCCAGTTTGACTAAACTCTATTAACAACAGCCTTTTGCTTTCTGAGTTTCTCCCATCCAAACATCCTATAATCTAATTAACTAGTCATTTCCCCAAATCTTACTGATGATATTTTCCTAGCTAATTTTTTTATGGCATCTAATAGCAGAAGCTTTACGAAAATCTAAATACACCAAATCCACACTCTTTCCTTTGTCCAGAAAACAAGTAACATTCTCAAAAGAAAAAGCTGATTTTCCTTTGGTAAATCATGTTGACTTTCATTTATAATATCATATTTTAATAAATGATTTTGTAAAGCTTCTTTAATCTGAATAATATACAAATTTTCCAACTCAAAAGTAAGACTAAGTGGCCTATAATTTCCAGGCAACTCTTTTCATTCTCTTTAAACATAGGAGTAAAATAAATAATTCATTTATTTGGATTGTATCAGGCACTTGCAAATGTCTGCTGACTTAACAAAAAATAAAACAAAGACTGGTACATCTTATCTTTGACCTTTATTCAAATCTGGCCCCAGTGCTTTATGTATTGTTACGCCTCCGTTTGTTAGTTAATTTTCCGTAACTTCGTTCTGACGAAACTTTGGCGACACAAGTCCTTTCTTAAATAAAACTGGTTTATTCTTTCTGAATACAACTTTACGATACACTTAATTTCAACAGTCGCGCTATAATTCTCAACGAACGTCTCACGTGCTCGAGTTCAATTACACACTCTCTGACTGCAGTTCAATTACTCACTACTACACTGTTCCGTCACGTTGTGACCATCTTATATATACCAGACTACCCCCAATCTAGTAATCTCCCGACAATTCACAAAGGTTCGAGAAAGAAGTGCCGTGATACTAGTCACGTGATCTCGCTGACGCAACACTGCCCCTCCTTAGTATTGTTTGTCCCGAACAATAGCCACTTACATTAAACCAATAACAATTAACAATGACTTAATTAAATGTACAGAATTACAAACACAAAATTACAATTCAACAAAGTCTCTTAATTTTACGGGACATATCTTCTTCCGTACTGGTCTCTGTCTCGTTGGCTTCTGCTTCACGTGGGGTTCATCTGCTTCATCAGGAAATGTTCTATCGTTGATAACAGTAACATCAGTGGTAGTAACTTCATCAAGAGCTTCACCGTTTCCCTTCTCAAAACTGAGTAGAGTTTCTTCTTCAATGGTGGCTTCTTCAGATGGCACGTCTTCAGCAGCGTCATTTGTTCCATTGTCCACTTCGTCCCAACTGAAATGTCCTGGACCGTGATAATGCCAAAGCCTGTTGGCATGCACCACTTTTGGCTTACCTCACCGACCACATTCTACCCGGAAAGTCACGTCTGAGAGACGGTCCACTATGTCATATGGGCCTTCCCATGGAGAAGACAACTTAGGAGACTTCCCTTTGGTCTTCCTGGGATTATACAACCACACCTTGTCTCCTGGTACAAAGCTGACTTCAGTAGATCTCTTATCACAAGATAACTTCATCGAATCAGCAGACGTTTTCAAGTTTGAACGAACTTGATGGTGAATATCATCCATCCTTTCCGATAACACTTTCACAAACTCTGACACATTCTCAGGCAACTCTTCATAAGGTGGGTGTCCTGTTAACAGATCCATTGGTAACCGAAGTTCCCGATCAAACTTCAACTTTGCTGGAG